AGATGACACAACCTTGCTTGCTGAAACTGAGGAGGACCTGAAGCGTATGCTGCAAAAGGTCAAGGATTGCAGGCTTAAATATGGATTGAAGCTCAACATCAAGAAAACAAAGATTCTCATCTCTGAGCTGATTGGCAGCATCATGATAGATGAAGAGATTGAGACTGTAAACAGCTTCAGTTTGCTTGGCTCCACAATCAACACTGTTGGTACCAACAGCCAGGAAATCAATAGATGACTTGCCCTTGGAAAATTTGCAGATAGGCCATCTCCAGAGTAGTGAAGAACAAAGATATCAGTGTGGAGTAAGGTGCACCTGATACAGGCCATGGTCTTCACAATTACTTGTAATGCATCAGAAAGGACAGTGAATGTGGATGGTAGAATTAATGCCTTGAGCTGTGGGACAGGAGAAGAATATTGACAATACCATGGACTGCTTGGAGAATAAACAGGTTTAACCTTGAGAGGTTGAAACCAGGCTGCTCCTTGGAGGCAAGGATTCAGAATCTCCATCCGACATACTTTGAGCATATTGCAAGGAGGGACCAGTCCTTGGAGAGGAACATCATGCTTGGGAGGGTGGAGGGACAGCACAAGAAAAGAAGACACTCAATGAGATGGATTGACTCAGTGACTGAGTTAAAAGGTGTAGGACTGTCAGAAACAATGTAACGGGTGTCCCCTATAGGCGACCAGTGGGAGCGACGATGAGTCCAGAATGCAGAGGTTTTGAGGGACACAGGGTGGATGCAAAAGCGGCCCTGGACTGTGAAAATCATCCCTCAGGCAACAAGTAAAAAGCATCTGCAGAGTTTATGCTCTTGGATAACAGACTGAGAAGAACCTAAAACTCATCACCATTCTGTCTTTCACATTTTCTTTGTAGTCCTGGTCCTGGGTGGTCGCATTAATACACCTGGACAGTAGGGGGCAGTAGAGATCTAAGTTTTCTGTGACTGAGATTCCCATTGCATCTGCCTGGGTCTTCCTGGTCCAGTGTTTTCTACAGAAAGGGAAAATTTACACCTTGGTCTTCTCATTCTGGGGCATGGTGGCTTCGTTTATTCAAGTTTACTTTTCATTCTTTGCAGTAACTTATCTTCATGTAGGTTCCTTGCACTTCTCAGCCAGAAGTTTCTCAGGTTGATATTTCTTGTTGGTGCTGTGAAAGACATTTCCTTTCTATGTATTTGTTACAACTACAGATAAAATTTTGTGTGTACATTGATTTAGGTCTATTTTTTTATCCTACCTGGTTTCCTGCAATCTCATTTTCCGTTAAAGCTCGTCAGTTACGAATTGTTAGGTATGATGGTAAGAGTTCACATCGCATAGTTTGGGCATATTATGAGGAAGAGTCCAGTCCATAGGGAAAGACAAACGTGGTAAGGCAAGTGAATAAAAAAGTAAGACCCTCAAAGAGATTAACAGACACAATGACTACAGCAATGAGCCTAAAAGCAGAGACTGGGGATGGCACAAAACTGGGCAGAATTTTATTCTGTTGTACTTGAGATTGCTAGACATTGTTGACAGCACTTAACAATAACAAAAAAAATCTATTTTCTTAAATATTTTCTTTCTCAATCATTCTAACACTGAGATCGATTACCTATCATTTTTGTGATGACAAGAACATCTAGGAACTTTAACCCTGCTAAGTGGATGGAGCCAGCTTTCTTTTGGTTTAGATGTAAATCAAAAGTTTACAGCACAGGGACTAAAAGACTGCAGTCTCTACCCATAGTTATTGAATAGAAAAAGTAAGAGACAAAGTCAAGATGTAGGGTCACGATTGACTTTCAACACCAAGAGCCAGACAGAACATTCAGATGGTTTCTGTTCTGCTTAAGGAAGTGAAATATGTTGAATACTGCTGTCCGGGGTCATGGTGGACGTGGCATTTTCCTTTCTCATGTCTCAATTCAAACGAGACATTCCCACATAGGTAGAGAAAGCAAGAAAGAGAATCAGTTTTTCCGTCATGAGGATTTTCAGTTATTCACAAGCAGATTTACCCCAGATGATCAGAATACATAGGTGTGAACTCAGTTCATCCAAACTTGACTGTTTTGTCTTCCATTATGTGTTATTTTCTTGCATTCCTCTTTCAGTCAGAACATCTGGGCTTAGTCCTGATGCACAGATTGTTCTGCCTTTATTATTATTATTTATTAAAAACGCTGAGGAGAACAGGAAGAAGATTAAAAAGTGGACGCGAATATACTCATGGTGCCTGTATTTTGGGAAACTGATATATCCTGCATACCTTTTGATGAGTCGATTCCAGTTGACTCCCTGTTTTATAGATAACTGGTCCATGGGCGTTTCCAGAATCCATATGGAAGCAAATCCCCATGTCTTTCTTCTACAGTACATAGCTGGGTCTAAGCCATCAGCTTTTAGGTAAATAGGTGAAAACTGTTTACCAAGGGACTTCTCAAAAGAGATGAGAGAGCATCAGATCATAAGCTACACCAGCGCATACAGACAGGATGACATCAGACCCGGTGCCCTGAGCAAGATGAGCTGACACTGTCTCCTGAAAGGGCACACCAGGTTCTGTGCATCAGTGAATTTGTTTCCTTTTCTTAAATTTGAATACCTTGGCTCCCAGGAGCACCCTTATCCAGTTAGGGGCTGGTTGCAAGCTTTTTCCTAACTCAGACCTCCTTTCCCATCCCTTCTCCCTAGAACTCGGGTTGATACTCTCTGCTGCTGGCTGTCAAGTGCTGACCCCGAACATCTGTTTGCTGTAACAACGAGCACAAGCCATGAAAAGGTCGTGGATCACCGGCTGCTGTGATTCACGGGCTGAACTTCGGATTGGCAGGCTTTTCTTCCTGTTCCATCTTGGTCCAGCAGCTCTGCGAGACCCGGTCAGCATACTAACAGCCCTCCCGCCGGCCACGTGCTGGGTGCGCACGAGCTGCACCGACCAGGACATGAATCTGATGGACGGTGGATCCCCAGTGCTCTTCTTCTCCGGGGCCGTCAAGTTCACGATCGCTCCCAGCTGTGAACAAACGACCGGAACCTCGCCGACGTCACCGACCCCGGCACTTCCGGTCCCCTAGCGGCCTCCCCCTGCAGCCCCGCGCGTGGTCGTGGGCGCCCTCGTGGCAGGGGACACCGGGGGCCCGGCTCGGGTCGTAGGTCCGAGCGGATGCTGGACCCTCGAGGCCCCGCCACCCCGACCGGAGCCCTCCCCCCAGAAGCCCCATCGACGACCACGTCTACGGCCAGGCGGCCACTCGGGTCCTCGCCCGCAGCCCCGAGGGGGGCGGGGCAAGATGGCCGGCGGCGGCGCGGGGTTGGGCGTGGCACGGCGCGGGGGCGGGGCTTGCCGCGGGGGCGTCTGGGAATTGTAGTCCCGGCCGGCGCTGACGCACTTGGCTGCCGGGCGCCATTGTCCGACGCGGACGTGGGGGTGAGTGTCGTCGGGTCAGCGCCCTGCCCACTGGAACGTCCACAGCCTCTCCAGCAGGTCGAGCCTGCCCGCCGCCTTTTCTCGGCCTGTGTTTTGCTGCCTTCCCGGGGCGGAGGCGGCGGGAGGGGTCGGAAGCGAGGACACGCCCTCTGGCTGCGTGGGCGTGGGGAGAGGGCCAACTTCCTCCCGGCCAGCGGGAGAGCTGACCCTTCCGGTCCTTGAAGGCACTGGGCGTGGCCAGGAGGGAGGGACTCAGGAGGGTTTTGCGAGGCTGGGCCCGCATGTGCTGCCTCGTGCAGATGTCCCTGTCCTCACCCCACCCCCACCCCACCGTTGACTCAGGACCTGGCTGCCCCCACCCGAGCTATGCTGAGGCTCAGTGAGCGGAAAGTGACCTCTGGGCTCCCCAAGGCCTGGCCTGGGGTAAGTAGCCGTTTTACTGGAGCTTGAGTCCACCTTTGCACGGGTGGTGCTAGGGACCCCCGTTCTGGAGGTGTCCCGGGGAGCAGAACAGGCCTGGGGGGGCAGGAGTGACCTTGCGTGGCTGGGGCAAGGGGGAACGTTCAGCTTTCTAACGGGGTGTTGAGAGAATTGACCGAAAAGAGCACAGATCAGCTTGGGGGGGGGGTGTTTAAAAGCACCTCGATAGGCATCAAGTTGATTCATGGTTGCACTGGTCGAATAGGCTAGAACTATACAATGGGGCGTTGACAAGATCAAGGGTGCTGTTTAAAACCACCTTGACAGCCGTCAGGTTGATTCCTGGTCACAGTAATCGAATAAGTTAGAACTGCACCGTGAGGCGTTTACAAGACCAGGGGTGGTGTTTAAAACCACCTCAGTAGGCGTCAGGTTGATTTCCTGGTCGCAGTGATCAAATAAGTTAAAACTACACAATGGGGCGTTTACGAGATCATCTTTGTGGGACCTGACTGTCCCAGCTAGTGGGTCCCAGCCACCCACTTGGTTGGTCAGCATTTGGTCACGTTCATGTACCCTGTAGAGTAAGAGACCAGATGGGTGCTGAGGTTTCAACAGCGCCTTTGGCAGCAAGTGAGAACAAGGCAGGTTATGTGTGTGTGACTATTCGACTAAAGGAACGCATCTTTGGTATTCTAGAGTGTTAATAAGAGATGAGGGGGTTTTCAGCGGGAGGAAGGCCAGCCCGCCCACTCTTGCCACACGTGGGAATGATGTGAGCTGTACCGAGCCAGCTTGGGCTTGCTCAATTTCTAAATAAAAGATACGCATCACGATAGGACTTGTTCTTATGGACACTTAAATATTCAGATTATGTAGACCATCCTCTGCACTTTGAAACGTAAAAACATAAAGTTCGATTGATTAGAGAGTTACATTCCAAAGGGATAGCCTTCCCTCCTAGAAAGGGAACATGGAAGAAAGGCAATGGGCTAGTGAGGTGAGGCTCTGTTTGTGGCTTCCTTCTCTGGGTGGGCCTTGGGACTGGAATCTGGGTGTCCTCTTGACTCGGTCAGCCTCTTCTCTCCTGTCATAATGGGTGAGGACTGGCGCTGGCTGAACAGCAACTTGTGGGTCGTAGGAACCCGTGATCTTTGAAGATGTGACCCTGGGTTTTACCTCCGAGGAGTGGGAGCTGCTGGATCCCATGCAGAAGAGCCTGTACAGAAAGACGATGCTGGAAAACTATCAGAACCTGGTCTCAGTGGGTAAGGCTAGCCCCCCATTCTCAATAAAAGTCACACTTTGATGTGAAGATGTGGTGTCTCTGAGGTGTGTGTGTCTGTGCTTTGGGGTCAGGTTGAAGGCATTAGAGTGGTGGTGTTTGGATCCTGGAGTCAAAGTGAAGACTTGGCTTTACGTCCTTTGGAAAGGGAAAAACGTCTAACCTTTCACCTAGGCTATCCCTCTGAGCCCCTGCAGGCCAAGAGGTGTGTTTATCAGGGCTATTTTTAGCTTCAGCAGAAGACGTTCTCCTAACAAGGAGAGGTAGAGTCCATGTCCAGCATTGAGTGAAGGCTCCAGGTTGTTTAATGCCTGTGTGACACTGAGTGTCCTTCTGTCATCCTCATACCATGGAGGAGAGCAGTTAGCCCTGGCTGTCCTAGTTTCACAGCTGTCACATGAATCAGGAAACCAAAAACTTTTCCCAGAGGATCTTCCTTTGTGTATAGGCCAAAAGTGGGTCTCTAAGCTGTCCTTAAGTGCCAGGCATCTGCCAGAAGGGGATGAAGCTGTCACTGTCCAAGCCTGGACATGGTCCTGTAGCAGGGAGAAGGCAGGTGGAGATTGAGTGAGATAATCCAAGCCCCAGCGGGACACATCTCTGGAACAGACTCCTCCCCCCAAGCACTGTCTCTTTTCCCTTGAGCAGAACATCAGCTTTCCAAACCAGATGTGGTGTCTCAGTTAGAGGAGGCGGAGGAGCTATGGCTGAAGGAGAGAGAAATTCCTCAAGACACATTTCCAGGTGAGAACCAGGCAGCTGGGACCCCCCCTCCTTCTGGTACCAGGTGGACTGATTGGTCAGGGTTTGGTATTTGGGGAAAGAAGTAGGCAAAAATCTCAGGCAAAACATTGTACTGAACAGATATGTACAGGCAGGCTCCCACAGATAGGCACTTTCGTGCTCTCCTGCGTATGGGTAATGTTCAGCATCTTAAAGTTATCAGCAGTTCAGATCCCCTAGACCTGAATTCTCTTCCAGGGCCTCTGAGACAATAAGGGATTTCCTCACTTGAATGACAAAAACCATGACATGATAAACGCCCTGTCCTAAAGTGATGCTCTAATTAATTGCCTCCCCCAGCCGCACTTCATCGACTTTTCTAGGTCTTAGCATCAGTATCTAAATTAGATAGGAGGGTGTTTTATTATTATTTGTGTATGTATCATCTGTGTCAGATTTTTATTAAGATTGTGCTGGATTTTTAAAAAAGACTAGACATACTTCTGACCCATACGTCTCTGATAAATGGAAGAATTGGCCTTTTGCTGGGTTCTTACCCTCTTGTTGGACCCTGTTCCTAGTTTCTCAAGATTTTAACTTGTTGGCTCAGCATTAATATTTTTTAAACTTTTCTGTTCTATGCTCCGATTTCATTCCTTTCATTCCACTACTGAAAACTTGTCTGCTGGTTGACTCTTAGCACAGATCACTAAACTGTATCTTAACGTAACTACGTCCTTCACAGCGAGAGCATGTCTGGTCCAAAAGTACCTTTTTCCCTCTTGATCCAGTCTTCTGATGTCCCAGCCTGTCGGTTGTGGTTCTGAGCGTGCTCTGGGAGCATATCTTGTCCTCCATAGACTTTGTCGTGTCTCTGAATGAACAGACCTGATGTCTTCTGTATTAGTGACGTGCACATTACATTTGGATAGGCAGGTGCAGCAGATGATATCTGGGTTGTGTTTGGAAATGCCGGTACAGCAGACCACACAGGACTTGCATTTGGCAGAGTGGACCCAGATCAGGTAGGAGCTGGAGCTGGAAAGGTGGATGTTGCAGATCACATAGAACTCCTTGCACTCTGAGGAGAGCTTATTCCAGGTGCGATCAGGAAGGCATGTTTTGTGTTAGATTTGACCTGACTTCCCCCCCACCTCAGACAGGTAACGTGCAGTGTTGTAACAAGGCTTAAGGGAGGCACATGTCATCCAAAAGCATGAACACCAGTCATCATGGCCATGAACCAGGAAAGGATCTTGACCTGACTCTTTGAGAGCGCCCTGCCAGTGTTCCTGGAGAAAGACCTCGTGGGATAGACCAGAAGTAGACCGGGGGTTGCGTCACCTGGGAGTGAGCAGAGGTGATGAGAAGTAGGAGGTATGACAGTAGACTCTCTGCGGTCAGAGGGGAGGAGGCCACCAAGTCTTCTGAGTCCTACGTGAAGCCGGGGCTTCAAGAAACTTGCTGTGACTATTCTTTGTGATGTATGTTATAGAAGTATGTTTTAGTATTTTTCTTCAAACAGAAATCAAAGAAAGGTAAAAATGACAACTGGATTTTTGGCATTAACCTCTGAAATGGAGAAATCTGGTCAAGAACTAGGTTAGAAACAGATTCTTGGTTTTGTTTTTTACTGTTTTTCAAACAAAAGTTGCAAGGCTAGTACAAGAAACTCTTAGAGCCTTCTCATAGATGTAAGAGTTTATTGCAGTGTCTCGGGCGTGTTTCATTAGTCAGGCATGGCTGAACCTGTGTTACGTCTGAGAAGCATGGAACTCAGATCACAGTCTGGCGACACATAAAAATGTAACTTGGTGAGCGTGTCATCCTTTTCAGTCATGTGCTTTACCAGCAGGTCTGCTGTCGCTGCAGCACTCTCCTCACCGACACGGGCATGGCCGTGCACGCAGAGAAGGAATCTAGAAGTGAGACCAGATTTTGATGAAAGATTCACCTTATCACATAGCAAAAATAAAAGCCACAGAGGTTCCTGTTTATTAACTCAAGGAGAAACTGGGTAATGTTTAAGGGAAATGGCATTCATCGTGAAGGAAGCATGACAGAAAGAGCTAGAGGGGCAAAGGAGAGATTTGGGAGTATGTTAGCTGAAGCTCAGCCCTTACACCATTCCTCATTGTCCGTTTAGAAAAACCTTAAACCTCCTCCTCCCTACTGACATGGTTAGATCACAGAGATCAGGTCGTTATGTAAGAAGGGAGAGTGATCACATCTACACAGATGCAGTAACATTGTATCCCTACACCTTGACAACTATCACAGCCAGCATTCCACAACTCACTTTGTCACTGTCAGAAACAGATTCCCCATACTCTTGCCAGAAGTGTGAAATGTTAAATAACAAGTGAGGAGCACCGTGTATTAGACTCTTCAGGGAACACTTGAAACTTTGAGTTAATCACTAAGAAAGTCATGAAAGGAAAACCCCGTTAGGAAGGGCATGATCATAGATAACCTATAAGACGTTTAAAACCTGTGACTTGGCAAACAGTGAACACATCAGTTTTTCAAACACTGTAAACATTAAAAGAAGAAAGTAGGGGGAGCTCTGGTGGCCTAGTGGCAAGAAGCTGCACTGCAATCCCCGAGGAACACGATTCGAATCCACCAGATGCTCTGCCGGAGAAGGAGGCGCAATATCCTCCTGTACCAGTCAGATCTGATTTGACGGTACACGTACACAAAATAATAAAAATTAAAAAAAAACAAACAACAGAAGAAGAAAGTAATTTATACAAGCTTGCTTTATTGGCAGGAATATAAATCAGTTTCGTTGTGTGGATGTCATTCTTTGTGTCATCTAAGAGGACTAACCCAACATTTAAAGGAAATGTGGAGAATGGAAAATTACTAGGAAAATACTTGGGTTTTACAAGAGATGATTTGCCCAGGAGCACAATTAAATACCTATTTTTGGCATGAGAAAGTCTGCTTTCCCTCTGCCCTCTTTATCAAGAGAAGGCTTGTTTTGAGGCCAGACCAGCAAAGACCCTGTGAATGCAGGAAGTTATTTTCTTTCCCATGGGTTTTTTCTACATCTGAGAACTCACACAAGGAAGAAATCTCAGGTACATGGTCACGACAATTGCTCAGTCTTTGACCCTATTGCAATTTTTTGTAAGAGAATTCACATAGTAGTCAAAAATCCCAGTTATCACCTGTTCAGATTATGGCTTGATAAAGTTCTCCTCCCAGTCATTGCAACTGATAGTTGTAGAAGTGTAAGGAAGTTAAAGCTGTGGGGAGGGGTCTCTCACGTACTGGAGGAAGAGGGCGTTCATGTGGTGAGTGTGCAGATGGACCTGGTGCCCTCCGCAGAGCAGGCACTGTTCAGTAGGAGTCCTCATGGTGTTAAGCATCAGAGAACTCACACGGGCAGAGCCCTGCTGAACGCAGTCCGTACAGGCCAGTCAGCAGCCTTGCTTACCTTGTTAAAAACAGACAAGAGTCCATTCAAACGAGCAACACTGCAGCAAACCCCATTAAATAGGGAACCAGACATGCCTCACCTCCTTTTTATACCAGGTAAGTCATGTGAAAATGGACTCTGCTTTTTCCATTTTGTTCTCTTATCTGACCTGAATGTCCAGAAAAACAGGAAATACACGTCAGAGCAGATTAGTTAATTTTTATTTCATTTTACGTGTGCTTCCCTGGTTCCTTGCACAATAACTATAAAGTACTGAAAGCTCAGTGAAAAATGTTGAGAGAGGAGGGTATTTAGTAGCACAGGAGGCTTTGAGGACGAAGGCAGTCCTTGATACAAGAAGAGTGGGCAGGAGACTATAAAAGAGAAATCTTTACATAGTTTAACTGTTTTGTTATAGGCCGTCAAGTCGAAACTGACCCAAAGCTGACCCTTCAATGGGTTTTCGGAGGAGATTGCCATCTGTCTTCCTTGGAGCAGCTGGTGGATTTGAACTGCATGCCTTCAAGTTGGCATCACAGCTCTTTAGCCGCTAGGCCACCAGAGCTCCGTGTCGAAACATTAGTAGAAGAAAATAAATTATCCAAGGCTGTATTACTTGGAAGAATGTAAAGCAGGCCTTTCCTGGATTTCACTCTGAGCAGGCCAGTCTAAGAGGAGTAACAGGCTCTGAAGTGAACATGTGGAAATCAGTAGAAAATACCTGTTTTATGCAAAGGTGATTTATCCAAGAGCAAGACTGTGTGTGTGTGCGTGCGTGTGTGTGTGTGTGCTTAGCATGAGAAAGGTCTGCTTTCAGTAATCCCAAATGTCTGTTCACTCACCGTTCCACATTTTTATGATACGTGTTACTTAGAACTGTGAGGGACAAAGGTCAGTGGAGATTACCTTCAGGGTCTAGAAATGTCAGTGACTAACGCATGGCGAGATCTTTTCTGCAGGAATACTGTGCGTTCTCCTGAACGAAACCACTGTTGTCAGCTGACTGTGACCTAGAGCAGCACCGTAGCGCAGGTGTGAGAAGCCGGGTGTTCGGTCCTGCTCTTCTGGCTTCCAGATTTGGTATGCAAGGGTAATTCTGAGCCCAAAATGCTTCATTGTTAAGTCAGAAGGAAAATGAGACTTCAAGGGTGGGCAATAACCCTCAGAATTCTAAGAAAACGAGAAATTACAAAGCTAAATTCAAAGAACAAATACATCAAAAGTGGGGTGGGCAATAATCTGAGAGCTCATTTCCTGGGGGTGGTTTTTATTACTGTGATTTTAAGAAGAGCTTAAAGAAAGGTTGGGTTTCACTCAGTCATTGTTAGGCATTTCCTCCCTCCCCTGTTGTTGTGGTCAGTCTAGTTGAGGGCGAGTCGCAATGACCCTTTAAATAAATCTGAACCCTGTCCTGTCTTGTACCATCATCGTCTCTGACATACTTGAACCCATTACAAAAGGCAGAAGCATCTAGTTAAGATAAACAGAATGCCAAAAACCCGTACAGATACTCAGCAACACTGGGACTTCCTTCAGTTCCAGTACTTGGTGCAGCTGGTAACGTGCATAAACCATATTTTTAAAAAAAAACAAA